CGGCTCGACTACAGCTTCGATGGCAGCTTTGTTTTTGGCACACGTTACAGTTTTTGTTGTGCACCTTCCTCGGCTTCTGGCTTGCCTTTTTTTGTTGCGCATGGGGGGCGTGGCGTCTGTCAGTTTTGGCCATATTGGACGGCTGGCAGCTGGGTTTTGTCTGCGTTGCGTATTTTTTGCAGCTCAATGTCTGCATTCGTGTCTGTGGTTTTGCTTAACATTTATGCTGTAGTTTTTGGCCATATTGGCTATTTTTTTGGCCTTTTTTTGGTTACTCTAGCCAACCGGAAATGGCTCATTGCACTTTGGCTACACCAAATGGGCATTTAAAGCGCATTTCCGTTGCCTTTTTGCCCACACGGCCAACGTTTGCGGCTTTTAAGCTGATGAGTCGCATAACTCAATTGCATTTGAAGTTTTTTGTACTCTTTTCTGTTTGTTACCGGATTTACATACTCCAACGGGGTGTGTGTAGAATCTACCCTCAATGTCAGGCCGCTAATGATACTGAGCACCGGCTCCGAATGCGCTGCAACCTGGCGCGATTTATTGTTGTTGCTGTTGTTATTGAGCTGATGATGATGCAAAAATCTTTTGAGCCACAACAAAATGCTAAAAACCTGTTTAATGGTGGTGGCTCAAGGAAAAAACAAAAAACTCGTACGACAAAAGAAAATTTAAATTAGATTAATTGATTGAAAGGCGAGCCGCAGCCAGAACCTGGCAGACAGTCAGCCCTGTTGCTGAGCGGGCGAATCCTGTGCCACAGTTGTTGCATGCGGGCCACGTTCCCAAAATTGTATCGCCTGTATTATTTATTTTTTTCGTGCTCCCTTTTTTTTTGTTTCTATAATGTTCTTATCCGTCGCTTTGTAGCCCAAGGTGCGAATAATGCGGCTTGTGTTTAATGAAGCGCAAGTTTTGCACGATGCGGCGGCGTCTGTGGCTGTGCCTGTCCATGTGGTGTTAGTAAACTAAGAAGGAGGGGGGGGGGGTGGTAAGGTAAAGTAAGGTAAACATGAACAACGAGGAGACGGGTGCTCGAATGCAATGATAGCTTGGCAACCTCTTAGACAAAGGTCATAGTTGCCACTCAAAGGTTTAGCTGACATTAAAGGACAGGAGAATTTGTGAATTGAATATAATTGCTTAATGCCACTAAATGAACTGCACAATTTTCAAGAAAAACTACTCAATAAGAATACAGTACACATACAAAATACAATAGAGAAAGGCAAAATTGAACAAATAATAGCCAACTTTCAAGACGTAAGCTTTAAAACTGAGAGACTAGTTCCCATATAATCAGAGAAACAGACAGACAGACGGACATGGCTATATCAACTTGGCTGGGTTGGACAAGAATGCGTTACATACTTCGTGACAAAATTATAATACCCTATATAAGGCTAAACAAGTAATTAAATCAAAGGCTAAACAGTATAAATGTATGTAACAGGCAGAAGGAAGCATCTCCGACCCCATAAAGTATATATATTCTTGATCAGCATCAACAGCCGAGTCGATTAAGCCATGTCCGTCTAATCATGTATATCCAATGTTTCGATTGCAAGAAAGCTTTTGTGCCTTTGATTGATGTTGATTCTGATTTGATTTCTGCCAGCAGCTGATCGTTGCTTAATTGAGTAACGTTCGCCAAAAAAGAATTAATTTGTCATATTTTCTTTCACTTTTCCATTTCACTTGCAACTAATAAAGCGCTCAACGTCAAAAAGTTGCCTCATGCCGCTGCCGCTTGTTGCAGTTGCTGCAAACAGTTTTGTTGCTGTATGCGAACACATTCGGTTGCTGCAGCAGTTCATAAAAGGCGGCAGCTAAAATTAAAAAAATAAATAAAAAGCAAACACAACTTGAAATGGTTTTTAAACGAAAAGCGCGTGTGCGTGCTCAAGCGCAGCTCTGAGCGAGTATTTTTCGCGTATCTGTCGGATACATTTTCGTTGTGCCGGGCTCAACTGACACATGTGAAACGGGGCACACACATGCACAGTTACAAATGTGTGTGTGTATACGTATGTTTTCTTTTTTTTTTTTGTTGTATTTGCAAAAGTTATTAATTTTAATTGACTGTTGTGTAATGTTGTCGCTCAGTGCACATTCCGCGCGACACTTCGACAGAGAACGCCGCCTGCCACTCGTCGCATGCACTCGGCTGCTCTGCTGCTCGGCTGCTGGGGCAAGAGATGTCAATGTCCTGGAGCCAGGCCGTGCAGCTTTAATTGACACTCGGCTGGCTGCTGGCCAGGGGTAATGATGGCTATGTCGTCATTTAGCTAAAAATAACTGTTGTAATTAGGCGCGGCGAGCGTTAATCATTGAAGGGGCTGGGTTGGGGGACGGTGCCTACTTCTATTAGCTGCTCGTCTGTCCGACTGTCTGTCGGTATGACTGTCTCTCATTGGACTCTTTCAAATGCTAATTGAGGTATGCGCCAGCCACTTGTCACATTTGCCATATAATTTTAATTGTTTAACTTATAATAGGCGCCACTTTGGCAGCCTCCTCAACTGGTTTCGGTTTGCATTGCAATTTAATGCATTTGCTGGCGCCAAAAATTGTAGATGACAGCGAACAGCGCACAGCGAATGTGCAGCCCCTTAAATGATATTATCAACAGTTCTTTGATGAAGATAAATGATATGCGCAACACTTTTGAGCCGCATGTCTAATTAATGCGAAATACCCAAGCTGCGCTTGGACTTTGCACTTTAACGGGAAGTGTATTTCGTAGTGGGTCAAATGTTTGACACATTTTGAGTGATTGCAATTGCCAAGCCACGCACAGAGCAGTCGTTGCATTGACTGCATTGAACTGCAAGCCAACATGCAGCTCGTGATCTTCAACTTGTAGAGCTTTTACACGCACACAACTCACGCATGCAGCCAAACAGCTCGCTGGCAAGCGTGTCTAACGAAAAGCTTTACAGCTCACCAATACAGACAACAAATTTGAGCGCATGTATGCGTATACAGAGAAGTCGTTGTCTTAGCATTTTTGTGTCTTATTGCAAGCATTCATAACTATTTACATTGATACAAGTGAGAGTCATTTGCTAAGCAATAGCTAGCATCACAAGCATATAACCGCGTATTTTATGTTTAAAAGCTCTCTAAAACATACACATCATATGAAGCATTTGCATTTAAAGTATTTTACTCATAAGCATGCATACTACATATTATTTTCAGGCGCGTGTTTCAAAAAGCTTTAAAGCTAATCCAAACGAATGAATTATACAAAAGGCTTTCCAGCTAATAAGATCCAGCAAAGCTTACAACAAGCGTGCATATGCACACATACATGTACACAGCTACTGATCGCCAGCTCCTAGAGCTTCCACATGCACACAGCTCATGCATATCGTGAGTCAGTGCTTTGAAGTGCGCGTGCTTGAAAGCTCACCAATACAAATGCAGCATCCAATTGGCACGCTTTTAAAGGTATTTTAAAGAATTTGTATCTATTTACGCTTGGCACATTTTCATTCATAACTCTAGGCTGAATTCCTAACGGCCTGGCATTGTCCGTGGTAGCGCCGATAACGCCTTTTAGACAGCCGCACGGCAGGCGGTCGCATAAACAAAATGTGTGAAATTTTTACCTAAAATAAAAATTGTAGAAAATGTATGATACGGGCCAAAGGATATGGCAGACACCAAGGGTGCATTCAGTGCTATGTCTGCATTTGATTTCCGTTTGCCTTGGCGTGGCCATGCCGAGCCACGATTCCGTTTTCGAATCACACCTCTGCTGCCGCACACTCACACACACGCATAGTCACAGAGAGCATTCGCATCGGGCTTGGGTAGATTTTTCACATGCCGTGGCAAACATTTGGCAAACACATGTGCACCAAAAACGCGCAGGCAGTCAGGAGTGCAAAGGGCCCATGCCTGAGGCAGAGCCAGAGGCGGAGGCGGAGGCAGAGGCAGAGGTATGGCATTTGCTTTTTGTGTATCTAGGAGATGCGCTTGTGTACCTACGCCTTTTGGTCACTGCTGTTGCTGCTGATGCTGCTGCTGCCAGCTTGTCGATCCGTCTGTCCTTTGTGTAAACAAATCAAATGGCCGTGTTGTTTGTTGTTGTGCCTCACTAGCAGCTAGCGCAGCAACTCAAAATTGGCCAGCGAAATGTCTTTGTCAAGTCAACAGCGCCAAGCAAATTGCCTTAAACAGTCAAGCGAAGACGCACTGCAAAATAAATGGCAAAAAAAAATGGAAAAAGTGGCAAAAGTTTTCGCAAATCAGCTGAAATTATGAACTTCCGGCTGCAGCCAGCGGAAGTTCATTTTAACCCACAATAAAAGTTTGCATTCCAAAGAGTGTGAGCGTGTGTGTGCGGGAGTGTGTGTATATTCTACACACATATTTTCATGTTCATGTGCAAAAGTTTTACGCTTATATAAGAGCATAAAATTTGCATTATTCACTTAAAACAAACAGCTCACACAAACACGCTAACACACACACACACAGATGCGAGTTCCTTTTGCCTTTTCCTGTGGAAAACACTTTTTGCCGTTATGCACAAGCAAACAAACAAATATTAAATGCAAATAAATGCGCAAGAAAATTGCAAACGTCGAGCCAATGGCATCAACCAAACGAAGCTCACAGCCAAACAAATAGCGAAATATTTTGACTAGCTATCGAATAAAAGCAGGATATGTTCTGTTGGGCAAATCGGAGCACACCCATTGAACAATGGCTTCCTTTTAAGGTAGCTGGCGGTGCCACGTGCTCGAAAAGCAGCTAGGCATAATGCTGCTGGCCTGATAAATACTCTGTAATCTAATATTTAACTAGTTTCAAGCAACAACTTAAGATCTTATAAAATCTAAGTATTGAAATTGGGCATAAAATATTTTAAGCTTAACCATTTTTTAATACAAAGTTTGAAGTGCGGTTAAAAAGCTTTTTAATATAACTCACGTGTATTATTATCAATTTTATACAATGCATGTCGTAGTTTCGTGTTCCTGAGCCATAAGACAGTAGTTTAACAATTTTGAATCATTTTAATGAACCGGTTCTAAACCATCTTACAAACCCATCTGAATCGAGTCTGAGTAAAAATAGTCTAAATAAATAAAAAATTTTAAAAAATGTTGTACACATAAACAATTAAAAACTGATTTCTGAATCAAAACTTGGTCTAAGAACTTCCTTAACAATTTTTTTTGTCAATAATTTTTCAAAAAAAACCATTTAAAGATTCTCTTTGAAACATTTCAAAAATTATTTTTTTAATATTTTCAAAATAAAACGCTCATTTTAAAAATGAATATTATTAAATTATTAAATAAATTATTTTCCAAAAATAAACAAAACCACTTCTAAACCTTTCAAAAAACTAGGTTAAAGGCATTTTCAAAATAAATAATTTAGTTTAAAAATAATTGTCTAAAAATAACCAATTTTAAAAACATTTTTCAATCAGGTATAAACCAGCTATAAATCATGCATAAGCCATTTCTAGGCAATTTTAAAAACCATTTTAAGAACAGTTAAAACCCATTGATTTACCAGTTAAAAGCAGGCATGAGAGAATTTTTAAAACCTTTCACAAATATATTGCATATAATTTGGACATATATTAAAAAATTATGAACCAGTTTAAACCTTAGATGTATGGGCCTGAGCTAGCTCTGGTGTGTATTCAAAACCCTTTGAACTAGTTCTGAAACACGGTTTATTTACTGTAACTACATCTAGTATTTTGATGAGCTTCCATCAGAAACACAAGTTTAATATAAACATATATTCACCGATAAATCACAAACCCATTCGCTATATTAGATATAGAGCATATAGAGATCGTAAACTGCCAGACTTGATGACAACTCTCAGGCAAATTGGCTTTTCAAAGTCCTTGAAGTTGTTGCCACCTCCGCTCGAGTCTCAAGCCACAATTCAGAACGCGTGCAGCGTAATAAAATGCAACGTTTTTCTAGTTTTCGATTTGAAAGGCAAACTTTTGCTGTTAAACTAACAAATACAAAAGGCAACACAAACGCACGAGTTATAACCAAGAAGGCAGCGCCAAGACGCCAGCCAGCCAGGCAACCCAGCCAAGTTCCTTAGACTCTGACTCTGACTTTGGTTCCGACTCCGGCTTCGATTCCGATTCCCATTCTGATTCTGATTCGCAAACAGGGCACCTAACTGAGGCAGCACGCATGCAAATTGCGCTCAAGGATTTGAGAGTTGAGCACATTTTGCAGAATTTATAGTTTTCTCTTATTTACAGACAGGAAGTGCAATTCACAAATCGTTAGCTCAACACAGACACAAATCGAAGCGAATTCTTGCCAGGAGTAGGACCAGCTACCTTTCCTCCCCCCCTCTAGGAGAAGCTGCAGCACTTTGCGCCTTTGTTTGCCTTGGCTCGGTGCGGATTGAGAGGCAGGGCCACAAGAGTATCTATTACCAGCCACGTGCTGTGTGTGTGTGTGTGTGTGTGTGTGCGTGTGTTTGTGCTTCTGTGTGAGGTGTGCCTTTAACTGCCGAAGCCCGCCCACTAAAGAACTTATAATCAACAGCTTTGGCGGCTTAAAACTCGGCAATGAAAACCGAAGCCCGAGCAAACTATTTTCGAATAGCCTGTGCGAGTGTGAGTGCGTGTGTGAGTGAGTGTGTGTGGGCCAAGTATTTGAAAATAACATAAGTATCTGTGGCCAAAGAACTGGCAGCTTCTACTCCTATATAAAGCTGGATTCGAAAAGTTTCAGCGTCGTCGTCGTCGCTGTGCAATTCCCAAAATGCGGCCCGTGTGTGCATTTAAGCCACTTTTACTGAAACTTCACATTAATTTCAATTTGCTGCCAGTAAAAGTTTTTCATGCACGTCCGCAAATTGCTTTTGGGGACTAACAGACGTGTGTCCCTGTGTGTGTGTGTGTGTGTGAAGCATATGTAGCAGAACTTTAACACTTTGCGGCCAAGAGGTGTTCCATATACTATATGCCCTTCGATCTGCCAAGCCCAAATGACTTGGCGACAAAAAAGGCATAAGAAAAAATGCAAGATTAATTTAGTCGATGGTGTCCGACTGGTAGATACCCTGTGCTGAACCCCAAGCTGCTGCTACACACAGTCGGCCTTCCTTCTATACACATATTCTACATAGGCATGCTTCTTTTTCCCTCTTATGCCTTTAAGAAATGCATTCTTGAATAACTTCCGTGTTTATAGAACGATACTTACGAAGTTTTCAGGTTTTAAATATATCTCAAATCGCTAGAATCTAGCTAATAATATGTTTTTTCTTAAATTATATGATGAATTCCATATGAGAATCTACCTACCAAGTTTTTTGTATGTAGCTTTGAAAATGTTCGAGTAATGTATCGATATTTTAGTCGTGCTAAATATACAAACTTTATCAATTTCAAGTCTCTAGCTTCCCAAGTGTCTGGATCGTAGCGTTCAAATAGATGGACATACAGATGGACAGGGCTTGATTGACTCAATTTGTCGTCCTGAAAGAGTATATACATATATTATGCTTTGTGGGTTCGAAGATGCCTGCTTCTGTCTGTCACAGACACCCTTTTGCCCATTCTCCGTGGGTTCAGCGTATAGTAAATAAACAAAATTGTGGCTTGGCATTTCACTGTTGACTTTGTTTTGCTTCGCGTCGTTTTTTTTTTGTTTTTTTTTGACCACCCAAAAAATGTTTCGCGGAAAGCACAAGGCAAACACACTCGAGCACACACACATACACACCGCAGCGAAATTTGAAACGTGCTGAAATTTGCTGGCATTGCAAATGAAATCTGAATTCTTAAAACGAAAGAACGCCACCTTCCAAAAGACAGACGCCCACATGCGACAAAAATCTGTGTGACGTGACATGGAGCCAGATGATGTCGCCATCGCCCACTGAAGTATCTGCAAATCAAGTTCAGCTTCAGATAGAAAACAGCAGCTGCCTGCTGCCTGCTGCCTGCCATGAAATCATGCAGCTTGACTGATAAATTTGCAGCCTGGCAGCCTGGCAGCCAGCGACCCTCATTAGTCTTAATAGTTTAACGAGCAACTACCCGATGCGAATGCTCGAAAGCAGGCCATTAATGAGCTACAGTTAAATTTTATAAATTGGGCCCAGTTCGTATGCATATGAGGCACACACCTTTAAGGAGCTTGTCTTTGGGTCAACAAGGATCTGCCGCTCCCAGCTGAGTTGTTCGTTTGGACAGGCTTAAAGCTGGGCACATGGCGCACACTTGTCGACTGTCGCCTGTCTCCTGTCTTGGAGCTGGCTGCGTTGGCCGTTGGGTTTCCTTTTCGCTTTATAGTCCTCGTTATTTGCTTGCTGTGCAACTTGTGAGCTGCGTTTGCTGCTTGTCTGCTTTATATCCTGCGGGATATGCAAACTTATTAGACAAGTTTTGCCCCGGCCCGAGCAGCGAGTTGTTCGCCAACTCTCGAGTGATAAAGACGCCCCGAATGCCAAACAGCACAAAACATTTTGTGCGAGTCATTTGCATATGGGCTGCACCAGTGGAGGGGGTCGGACCAGTGGTCGGGGACCGGGACGGAGACGGGGACTGGGGGTTCTAGCAGAGAGGTACAAGTTAAGATTGAAAGGGTTCCACAGAGTCGTGTTGTTTTGCTATGCTACTATGTTATGTGCCACAGATATGTGTCTATCATTTTGACCATAGACTGTAATCGTTTATTGTCTTATTTTGGGTTAATATAATATAATATAACTTAACTTGGGAATTGTTCTTATCGTTGGGTCCTACCACCTTTGTGAATGCAAAACTTTAAATGTTTATCACTTTTTTTTACCGCAGAAGCTAGGGTAATACGTTATTTTACCGTCTTCACTATTTCCTGTTTGTTTTTCTTGATCGATTTTCTTTTTATGGAACTCTTATATCTTTCGTATGTTACTTTAACTTTTGGACTTATCTTACATCACCTGGCGTCCCAGGAATCTACACCAGATTTACTTTACAACTCCTCAATCCATATTTCTTGTCACCTTTTGCCATTGACACTTTCAATAGATGCAAATTAATTTGTTTGTTATAATGCAAAAAGTGTATAATAATCTGCCTTAATTAGGACTTCTTTAGATTCAAAGACTTTCTAAGAATTATATCACAGATATTAGGTATTTCTTATATGTATAATAAGCCACAAGTTATTAATATTTAAACAATTAAACAGCTAAGCTCGGTAGACTCTGACTTCGTCATTAAAGAAACTTAGCTATACAATACCGTGCTTAAATGCCTTTTATATTTATAAAATATATATATAGTTTTCGTACTGTTTTCAAATAAATTTAGCTATGTGAAGTTGAAATATTTGTGAATTTGTTTTGGGAATCGTGCACCATATTGTAAAAATAGTATTTAATTTCTACGTGTCCTTGATGTCAGCCAAATGCAGACAATGTTGCCACAATTCCGCCGCTTGACAAGTTCAATGTGTTTGCACCTGACAAGGCATTTTCTGCTCTCTGGTCCATGGCTAACCTCGAGATGCCTGGCACAGGCTGGCACCGCGCTAAGATGGTAGCGGACCACCCAATGGGATTTGGCTTTTTGCAAAACAAACAAAACGTCAGTCAAAACTGGCAAACGGCGCAAACTGTGCCGCGGGCGAATCGTGGCGGCCAAAAAAAAAAGAAAAAAAAAACAAGAAAGAACGACTATCAACGACATGTCGAAGATTAAATACCCTTGCGCAGATAAGTCCTAGAAATGTCTCAAGAACTGGCAAAAGCATGTTACAATAGCAGCTCTCTAATGTTCCCATTTGATACGGCATTCTAGATATGTTAGAAGAATATTGAAACAAAAAAAAAACAGCAATGTTTTCCACACGAAGCCCCAATCTTTGACAGGTTCTTAGACAGACCCATAGATATAGAAGTACGATGTTGAATTGAATTTGTTCAAGATATTTTGTAAACAAAAAAGTTATTCATACAAGAACTTAACTTTCGACTGATGCTCCTATAACATCTATATGATATGCTGGTTGGACCTGTGCAACAGCTAGACAGACTTATGAGAAATCTATGTAAGCTCGGCTGACGAAGAAT